CTAGTGTTTTAATCAAAGAAGTTGAGTTTATTGGAGATACAGTTATAGTGAAGAGGAATATGACTACTGAGTCAGATTTGATTCAAAATGACACTTCCTCTGATGCAAAACAGGAAGCATTAAAAGTATCTGACAATGCTGAGTGTGAAGTTCAGGAAGATACAGACGCAATTCCCAAGCAAAGTGACACCACCATCATTCCTGAAGATACTCAGAGAGAGGAGGCACACTCAGAATTCACAGTTATTCACAAGAGAAAAATGGGCTCAACTCGTAGACCTCTCAGAGGGAAAAATGGACAAAGAAAAGAAAAAGAACATCATGATGAAAACGAGACACCTGACAGTGAAGGTATATTCAAGGTAGAGAAAGAAACAATTAGTTTAGAGGATGAACCTAGTCTAGACGAATCTACATTACAAAGTTTAAAAGATGGAGCTAAAGAACAGGAGATGGAAATGTGCGAGAAGAATGATGTTGGTCCTGTTAAAGGGTCTAAATCCGCAGACCTGCAGTCATCATGTAGTTCAGACTTAACATCCGAGGAATCCATTGCAATAAGTATCTGTCACATCACAGAATCACAAACCCTCATGAAACTGAATGAAGAGTCCCAGGAAAATGCTGGAGATGCTGAAAGAGTGGCAGTAGGAGGAGAAACAGACCTACATTTAGAAATTAAAGCACAGATCAAAACATCTGACTCAACCAGTGAAGCAGAAGGAACAGAAAAGAACATACATGATGCTAGTGTTTTAGTGAGAGAAGTTGAAATTATTTTTGGTGATACAGTTACAGTGGAGAGTAATATGACTTCTGAGTCAGTCTTTCTTCAAAGTTCTCCTGATGCATTGAAAGTATCTCAAAATTCTGCGAACGAAGTTTCAGGAGAAACAGAAACAATTCTCAAGCAAAGTGACATCAACATCATTCCTGAAGATTCTCATGGAGAGGAGGCACACTCAAAATCATGTCCAGTTATTCATAAGAGGAAAATGGGCTCAACTCGTAGACCTCTCAAAGGAAATAAAGGACAAAGAAAAGAAATAGAACATCATGATGAAAATGAGACACTTGAATGTGAAGGTATGATCAATGTAGAGAAAGAAACATTCAGTGTGGAGGATGAATCCAGTACAAATGCATCTCCACTAAGAACCACAAAAGATGGAGCTAAAGAACAGGAGATGGAATTATGTGAGAAGAATGATGTTGGTCCTGTTGAAGGGTCTGAATCTGCTCTCCTGCAGTCATCATGTAGTTCAGATTTAGTTTCTGAGAAATCCACTGCAATAAGTATCTGTCATGTCACAGAATCGCAAACCCTCATGAAACTGAATGAAGAGTCCCAGGAAAATGCTGGAGATGCCGAAAAAGTGGCAGCAGAGGAAGACAAAGACTTGCAATTAAAAATTGAATCACAGAACAAAATATTTGACTCAACAACTAGTGAAGCTGAAGGAATAGAAGAGAACATCAATGATGTAAGTGTGGCATTAGTCAGAGAAGTTGAAGTTATTGGACATACAGGTACAGGGAAGAGTAATATGACTACGGAGTCAGATTTTCTTCAAACTTCTCCTGATGCACACATCGAAGCATTGGAAATATCTGAAAATGCTGAGAAAGAAGTTTCAGGAGAAACAGACACAATTCTTAAACAAAGTGACATCAGCATCATTCCTAAAGATTCTCACAGAGAAGAGGCACACTCAAAATCAAGTCCAGTTATTCATAAGAGAAAAATGGGCTCAACTCGTAGACCTCTCAAAGGAAATAAAGGACAAAGACAAGAACATGATGAGAAAGAGATCTTCAGTTTGGACTATGAATCTAGATATACTGCAGTGAGTGTCTGTGACATTTCAGAATCACAAACCCTCCCAAAAACTCATGCAGGGTCCCAGGAAAATACTGGAGATGTTGAAATAGTGCCAGCAGAGGGAGACACAGAACAACACTTAGAAAACAAAACATTTGACTCAATTGCATTTGAAGAAGAAGCAACAGAAGAGAACATCTGTGAAGCTAGTGTTTTGATCAAAGAAGTTGAGTTTATTGGAGATACAGTTACAGTGGAAAGTAATATGACTACTGAGTCAGATTTGATTCAAAATGACACTTCCTCTGATGCAAAACAGGAAGCATTAAAAGTATCTGACAATGCTGAGTGTGAAGTTCAGGAAGATACAGATGCAATTCCCAAGCAAAGTGACACCACCATCATTCCTGAAGATACTCAGAGAGAGGAGGCACACTCAGAATTCACAGTTATTCACAAGAGAAAAATGGGCTCAACTCGTAGACCTCTCAGAGGGAAAAATGGACAAAGAAAAGAAAAAGAACATCATGATGAAAATGAGACACCTGACAGTGAAGGTATGATCAATGTAGAGAAAGAAACAATTAGTTTGGAGGATGAACCCAGTCTAGATGAACCTAGATATACTGCAGTGAGTGACATTTCAGAATCACAAACCCTCACAATATTTCATGCAGAGTCCCAAGAAGATTATAAAGATGTTGAAAGAGCACTAGTAGGGAGAGACACAGAACCACACTCAGTTCAAAAAGAAATCACAACTCTTAATTCAGCCACATTTGAAGGAGAAGGAACAGAAGAGATCACATGTGAAGCTAGTGTCAAAGAAATTGAGTTTATTGGAGATACAGTTACAGTGGAGAGTAATATGACTATTAAGTCAGATTTGCTTCAAAATGACATTTCCACTGATGCAAAACCAGAAACATTGATATCTGAAATTGCTGAGAATGAAGGAAAAATGGACACAATTCCCAAACAAAGTAACGCCAACATCATTCCAGAAGTTCCTCACGGAGAGGAGGTACACACAAAATTGAGTCTTAATGTTCAGAAGCGAAAAATGGGCTCAACTCGTAGACCTCTCAGAGGGAACAAAGGACAAAGAAAAGTGAGAGTCGAATCCGAGGAAAAGACTGGAGATATTGAAGTATTGTTAGAAGTGGAAGACACAGAACCACGCTTAGAAATTCAAAACCAGGATAACGTGGTTGATCACAATGTGACACAAGAAATTATGAATATAAGAGATAATGAAGATGAGGAGAGAAAGACCACAAAGACAGTGGACATGTCAGTGCAGGAGCTATGTGATGATTTGGAACTAGAGCAGAGACCAGATGTATCTCAAACACAAACTGGTCCATCACAGGATGATACTGGCTCATATTTATTAGATGTCCCAGAAAGAACTGCAGATTTTGTTAGAGACAGATTTGCCTGTAAGAGTCATTCTGATCTGGTCTTGTCTGATGCCCTGCTTATAGAGGAAACACAAATTCATGTGTCATCTGAGGATGTTCCCCCGACAGAGATGGTTGAAATGCATCCAGTCTCCAAAAGGTTTTTGCAGAAGAGAAAAATGGGGTCAACTCGGAAGAGAGGGAAGAGAATGGTGAATGACGAGGAGGTTGAAGAAGAGAAAGAGGGAGAAGCTGAAAATACAACAAATGATGATGGGACCACAAAGTCAGAGGAGAATTTAACTATTGAAGAAGCCATTGCAGGATCTCCTGTACACAAGCAACTGTTTAGTTCATCTGCTGATAAAGAAGGCCATGAGATTCAGGATATTTGTAGTAAATCAGATGTGCCGACAGAAATCTCAGAACAAAATTATCCAAATTCTACCACAAATCCAGAACTATTGATAGAATCTGAATGTTCTTCAAATGTTGCTGCTGAGATGATTTCAGACCTTCCATTGGGAGATGCTGACACATACTTAGGTCCTAAACAAAGTGTCATTCCTAAAGAGTCTCTTAGAGAAGATCAATCAAGCTTGAATCCAGTTGTTCAAAAACGAAAAATGGGGTCAACACGTAAGACGCTCAGAGGGAACAAAGGGCAGGGAAAAGAAGTAGAATCCAAAAAGATGGATGGAGATAGCGAAGAAATGACACAGGAAGAGGATACAGAACCACATTTAGCACCTGAGATGATTTCAGACCTTCCATTGGGAGATGCTGACACATACTTAGGTCCTAAACAAAGTGTCATTCCTAAAGCGTCTCTTAGAGAAGATCAATCAAGCTTGAATCCAGTTGTTCAAAAACGAAAAATGGGGTCAACACGTAAGACGCTCAGAGGGAACAAAGGGCAGGGAAAAGAAGTAGAATCCAAAAAGATGGATGGAGATAGCGAAGAAATGACACAGGAAGAGGATACAGAACCACATTTAGCAACCAGTGCAAGAAAAACTGAATGTAAATTTGATGAAGAGGTTGAACAAAACTTCCCCATTGAACTTTCTTATCCAGTGGCTTCTTCAAAAATGTTCTCTGAATCAGAAAATGGAGTGAAGGAAGTTTCTCCAACTATCCATGACCTATCTGAGGTGAGTGAGGAAAAGGGGATGGAAAGTACTGGAAATTACAGTAATAGTGAGAATAAGGCAATCAATCTCTATGACGGGACAAAGGACAAATTTATCTTGACAGTTAGTCATGAAGATGTTGATCAAACCGTGACTGTAGATTACCTTGATCAGCATGTTTATGTAGGATCAGAGCCTGAACAAACTGAAAACACAGGCCAGTCTTTTCCCACACAAGAACTAAAAAACACTCAGGATGATGTTGTTTATGAAATCAGTTCCACCCAAGAAAAGAGGCGAAAGATGGGCTCAACCCGGAGATATCCTAGAGTAATGCATGGGGAAAATATGGCCAATAATGAAGATGGACTTGGTGTGGCAGAGGATAGAGAAACTAAGAAAGCAGAAGATGATTGGGATGATATGCCTTTAGCATCAAGCATCAGTCAGTCCAAGGAAGTGTCTTCAGTCAGTACCACAGATCTTGAATCAGAAATGTTAAGTAGTGCAACTGATTTAAAAGGTGAAAATGATCATCAGAACAATTCTGAACCCAGTGGACCAACAGTGCCTGAAACACCTGAAAATACCCTTAAAATATGTGATAATCAGTTAGTAAATGCTGATGTTACCAAACATCCACAGTCAGAGACTGTTACCACTGAGAAGAGAAGAAAGATGGGCTCCACTCGGAAAAATCTCAGAGAAGGAAGAATACAAGGAAAAAGAGATGGATATGAAAAAACAGAAACTACAGACACAAATCTGCAGATGTCTCAGGACTCTGAAATGATCTTAGGGGAACAAACAACTCATGATTACTCTAATCAGTCAGAGGATTCACTTCTCTGTGAGATAGAAAGAGCATTAAATAAGACGTCTCAAAGTTCAATGAGTAATGATCGGGAATCAATCGTCAAAGAGCCTAACCCTGAAGACTTAGCGAATGCTTCTGATCTTAATATGTCAGAAAACTCCGAAATCAAATCTCTCCAGCCGACACCATTGGCTCACAGTGAACCCAACTCACCAGGAAGACGAAGAAGAAAAATGGGTTCAACTCGCAAGAATCCCAGAGAGCAGCTCAAAGCAGAAAGGGAGGATGAAGACAAAGAGGATGGGGAGAAAGATGAGAATTTAAAGACGAATAAGCAAGAAAACAAGGATCTTGAAAGAGTTGAGGTGTCTATAGTGCATAATATCACTGAAAACAAACTGAATAAAGAGTATCTTGATGTCTCTAGTGCACACACAATTAGCAGTCAGCTAGAAGAGAGCACTAACCCTGTTAGCCAAGAAAGGACGTCTCCATCAACTAAAAGGAAGTTTGGGTCCAGACGCGCTAAGGGCAAACAAGGCCTTGGTAGTCTGGCCGCTTCTGATTTTGGGAATGAATTAGAAGATGGAGATCATAAACCAGACAGCTCTGAGGTTGAGGACAAGCTACGCAGTGATGACTTAGAGGTATATATCTCTTTGTTTAGAAAATGTCCTTATATTTTGTACTTCAGCCTATAATGATGCTTGCTTTAAAACACTAACAAATGTCTGTATTGTTAAGGTTTGTGATCCATGCCTCACCTTACAACCAGAGAATCAACCAATTACCCATCCAGTCTCGGAGCAGAGGAACATGGAAGCCAAGTATGAAACAGAGCAATATAAGAGTTCTTTATCTGTTATAAGAAATTAATTTACTTGTTTGTTTTTCCTGCTCCAGAAGTGAAGAAGCTACTCCAAAAGGCACTGGTGCTGGTCTCGTTTCTTTGGACCAAATCATGAAACATGATAGAAGCACTGGAGCTAAGCAGACTGTAAATCTCAAGAACAGGAGTGAGTAAAGTGATAAAACATTGTCATGCAATTATTTCTTAAAGTTTAATATCTAATACTCATCCAAACACAAACTCTGTCATATAGTTTCAGATGCTGAAGTAGTTCAGTTTAACGTTGTCATGGTGGGAAACAGCTGTGTGGGGAAAACTTCCTTCATCAGACGCTTTCATGAAGGGCAGTTCACTGAGGATTACCGCTCCACTATTGGTGAGTGTTGCGTTGGAGAGCAGGCATTCTTGTTTACTGAAGCAATTATTCACACTTCCATTCAAAAAGAGTCAGCAAGATTTTTAAAATGTTTTTGAAAAAAAGTCTGTTATGCTCATACAGTTTATTTGATCAAAAATATAGTAAAAACAGTACTATTGTAAAATATTATTAGAATTTCAAATACTTTTCTATTTTAATATATTTTAAAATTGAATTTATTCCTGTGAAGTCATTACTCCAGTCTTCAGTGTCACGTGATCCTTCAGAAATCATTCTAATATGCTGATTTGATTCTTAATAAACATTCCTTATTATTATCAATGTTGAAAACAGTTGTGCTTATTAATATTTTTCTGGATAAATTTTTTCAGGATTTTTGTAACTTTATTAATGTATTTACTGTCACTTTTGGTCAATTTAATGCATCCTTTCTGAATAAAGGTGCTAATATCTTTAAAACATCTTACTGACCTTAAATTTACAATGGTAGTGAATAAGGTGTCATGGTACACTATAGAAATAAATGATTTCTAAGAAGAAAAAATGCAGCAACAGACTGATCAGATAACGATCAGTTCCAAATGTATAAATATACAGTATAAAGGAGAATAACTTATATTATGTTAAAATGTTATATATTTTATGCTTTGCACCCAGGTGTTGACACCTGTATACAGACTGTTGCTCTGCCTGACAGAACTGTTAAACTGCAGATATGGGACACAGCAGGTCAAGAGAGGTAAGACATAGGAACAAATTAACACATGATGAAAAAAGTTGTTGGTGTGTAATTTAACCCAAAAAATCTTTATAAGGTTTCATAGCCTCACCACACAAGTGTTCCACAAGGCTGATGGGCTTCTGCTCATGTATGAAATCACATGTTCAAATAGTTTTATTTCTGTACGGGATTGGATATCTCGAGCTCAGGTATCTAATGTTTTCATGTTCCTTACATTTTAGTCAAAATATATGGAAATGTCCCCTTCCCTAAATTGTATTATGACAATGTTACACAAGAAAGGGGCTCCCGATGATGTCATCATGATGTTGCTTGGAAACAAGAATGATTCTGTAAAGCGTGCAGTCCAGATTCAGGAAGGGGCAGAGCTGGCCAGAGTAAGAGTTCATTGTGACCCGAAAAGTACTGTCCAATTGTTTTGCCTGAGTATATTTCTTCTAAAAGTTTGGTTGTATTTTCCCTTCATTAGGAGTATAACATAAATTTCATGGAGTGCAGTGCTGCAACTGGGGCGAATGTGTCAGAATCCATGAGAACTCTTGCAGAGTAAGACTCAAAACTAACAAAACCCATCACACCAATTATTACTTGTTCAACATGTGTGTTTTCTGTCCATGCTTAAAGACTAATTTCTTGTTGCTACTAGGTTGTTAATGCAGCGCAAATCACAGAAGGAGAGACACACAACATTGAGAAGAGAACCATCACAGAAGAAATCTGGTTGCTGTTGAAAACACACTCCCTCACACACAACATGCATGACCATTCAACAGTTTGGGTTAGTTAGATATTTTTTGTAGAAATGAATACTGTTATTCAGCAATTATGCATTAAATTGATCAAAAGTGACAGTAAAGACTATATTGATACAGGAAAAAAAATTGTTTTTACATTTTCTGTTTATCAAAGTATCCTGAAAAATTATCACCTTTCCTGTCAGAAGAATAAATAAACCCTAAAAAGGTAATAATATTTCACAATATTACTGTTTTAATTAAATGCAGTATTGGTGAGTATAGCAGACTTTACATTAAATCTTACCAACCCCAAACGTTTGAGGGTAATGTACAAACAATTTGTAAAAAAAAGTAAGCTGCTTATATTTTGTTGCTTAAGGAGAATGTCATTTCTGTATTTTATAAATTTGCACAAAGTACAATAAGGATTTCACATGTCTGTTAAGTGTTTTAATTCCAACTGCAAGTGCTGAATGTAAGTAAAAATGAATACAAACAAATAAAAAAAGCTATACTCTTACAATTTAGAGTTTATGAATGATGAAAAATCTCTGTTTTGTGAATTAGTTAGCACAGACTAAATCATTGAGGTACTAGTCAGCCTTCAAAACAAGACACTACTTTAAATAACAAAAAGCTACATTTTGCTAGAAATGGTATAGAATGTTAGAAAAACAAAGGATATGTCATCTCATTTTGTCATCATAATGTCAAAATTCATAGATTATTTCACTGTTTGTGAGGTCTTTGTGGAAAAAAAAATATCACTTAAAATAGTAACTTGTAGGCTACTTCTGAATGTGTCGATACAGTAACCGCTCTGATAGATTCAGCTGCGTGAAGGATTCTGAGTGACAACTCTGTGGGTTGTTTTTTTTTTTTTTTTAATATTCATTAAAAGAACCGACTCATAAGCATTCGTCATTCGTTCGGGAATCAGAATTTACTGGTTGTGTTTTGTGATTCACCAAAACGTACCAGCTCTTAAGAGTCATTATATATATATATATATATATATATATATCAAATATTGTTGCAATGTTTGTGTTTTTGTGTTTTCCATATTAGCCCATGTAAAATACATACAAAAAAGTTTTATTTTGTGTAACTGTATATCTCCCCACAATAATTTTTTTCATTTCCTTCCTAACATTAAAACATATAACTTAAATATTATGCTACTAGTAATTAATGAAGATGATTTGATAAGGACAGAAACACTCACAAAGAATTCGCCATTGACCGGAGGCTGACCACTGAAGCCACAGTCTGGTGAAAATGCACAATCGGTCAGGTTAACAATGTTCTCCATTAGAGAAAGACAGAGGAATGAGTCACCCGTTCCTGAGAAAAGGACTGTAGCCGTGGTGTTGAAATTGTTTGGTTTGACCACACAAGGGGAGTTATAAAGGTCATTCAAAGTAAGACTGAGGTTATATCCGACATGGTAGCATGGGTGACTGATTACAGGTGAGGATCCAGCAGTCTAGATGAAGCAGACACCATATCAGACATTCAATTATGACCATCATTTTATTGGTAGACACTTTCTTTCCAAATCTACATACAGTAAATGTGTTGTGCTAAAACTAGTATGGTAAAAACCTACATAGAGATAATGAATAGAATTAAAAACCAACCTTGTGAAGGTAGACCTGAAGTTTCCTCAAAGCCTGGTCCTTGCCGAAGCACAAGTAGCTGTGTGTGTACAACTCATATTTGTACCCGTAGAGCTGGAGATTAAAAGCTGAATCTGTTTTATTCACTGTCTTTTGGGGTGAATGAGATCTGTGTTGATGAGCCACCGAGATCAAGAGCTCCAAGGATCTTTCCTGCTTTTGGGTGGATCCAATTACCCTCAAATGTGTGCTGCAAAAAAAAACACACACACGTTAGGAGTATTGAGGTACATGATGTTCTAACAAAAGAGAAGCGATTAAGAGTGATTAAGTGTCATTTCTACTGTTGATTGATTTACTTAACTGAGTCTGTGTTGTCAAAATAACATGAAAAGCAAGAATGAAAATAGTATTATTACTGTACATGTGTTCAATGGCCTTTAGGAAGAATTACAAATAAAGATATCTGACATGATAACAATGTAATAACTTTAGTTTAAAATGATTGATGTTGCATTGTTGGTTTTATTTATTTATTAAATATTAATATTTATTATAAAATATTTATTCATTAAATATAAAATGAGCCAATGATAATATGACATGAGAGAATCAGACGATATGAAATGAGAAATTATAAATGTTCATTGTATCATTGTAAAGAAATGGGCTGACCCTTAAGTTTGAAAAACTCTGCATTAATAACCACTCAGTCCTAATTTCATCAGTGTTGGAAATCCATTATTCACCTTGATAAAACTCTCCAAGAGATAGTTGATGGTGATCCAGCCATAAGCCCCCTCCTCCATGCCAGAGAGTATTCTGGCCCCTCGAAAATCAAATTGATAACTTTGGATTGTTTTGGTGACTTCTGCGAGAATGCTGTCTGCGAAACTTTTGTTCTGTAAGCTGTGAAACCAATGTAAAAATCAATGTAATCCAGTTCAATGATAATTATTTTTCCAAATATTTTTCCATTTGTGACCCTGGACCACAAAACCAGTCTTAAGTCGCATGGGTATATTTGTAGAAATAGCCAAAAATACATTGTATGGGTCAAAATTATCGATTTTTCTTTTATTCTTTTATGCCAAAAATCATTAGGATATTAAGTAAAGATCATGTTCCATGAAGATATTTTGTAAATTTCCTACTGTAAACATATAAAAACTTTATTTTTGATTAGTAACATGCATTGCTAAGAACTTCATTTGGACAGCTTTAAAGGGTCATTCAAAGTAAGACTGAGGTTATATCCGACATGGTAGCATGGGTGACTGATTACAGGTGAGGATCCAGCAGTCTAGATGAAGCAGACACCATATCAGACATTCAATTATGACCATCATTTTATTGGTAGACACTTTCTTTCCAAATCTACATACAGTAAATGTGTTGTGCTAAAACTAGTATGGTAAAAACCTACATAGAGATAATGAATAGAATTAAAAACCAACCTTGTGAAGGTAGACCTGAAGTTTCCTCAAAGCCTGGTCCTTGCCGAAGCACAAGTAGCTGTGTGTGTACAACTCATATTTGTACCCGTAGAGCTGGAGATTAAAAGCTGAATCTGTTTTATTCACTGTGTCTTTTGGGGTGAATGAGATCTGTGTTGATGAGCCACCGAGATCAAGAGCTCCAAGGATCTTTCCTGCTTTTGGGTGGATCCAATTGCCCTCAAATGTGTGCTGCAAAAAAAAACACACACACGTTAGGAGTATTGAGGTACATGATGTTCTAACAAAAGAGAAGCGATTAAGAGTGATTAAGTGTCATTTCTACTGTTGATTGATTTACTTAACTGAGTCTGTGTTGTCAAAATAACATGAAAAGCAAGAATGAAAATAGTATTATTACTGTACATGTGTTCAATGGCCTTTAGGAAGAATTACAAATAAAGATATCTGACATGATAACAATGTAATAACTTTAGTTTAAAATGATTGATGTTGCATTGTTGGTTTTATTTATTTATTAAATATTAATATTTATTATAAAATATTTATTCATTAAATATAAAATGAGCCAATGATAATATGACATGAGAGAATCAGACGATATGAAATGAGAAATTATAAATGTTCATTGTATCATTGTAAAGAAATGGGCTGACCCTTAAGTTTGAAAAACTCTGCATTAATAACCACTCAGTCCTAATTTCATCAGTGTTGGAAATCCATTATTCACCTTGATAAAACTCTCCAAGAGATAGTTGATGGTGATCCAGCCATAAGCCCCCTCCTCCATGCCAGAGAGTATTCTGGCCCCTCGAAAATCAAATTGATAACTTTGGATTGTTTTGGTGACTTCTGCGAGAATGCTGTCTGCGAAACTTTTGTTCTGTAAGCTGTGAAACCAATGTAAAAATCAATGTAATCCAGTTCAATGATAATTATTTTTCCAAATATTTTTCCATTTGTGACCCTGGACCACAAAACCAGTCTTAAGTCGCATGGGTATATTTGTAGAAATAGCCAAAAATACATTGTATGGGTCAAAATTATCGATTTTTCTTTTACTCTTTTATGCCAAAAATCATTAGGATATTAAGTAAAGATCATGTTCCATGAAGATATTTTGTAAATTTCCTACTGTAAATATATAAAAACTTTATTTTTGATTAGTAACATGCATTGCTAAGAACTTCATTTGGACAGCTTTAAAGGTGATTTTCTCAATATTTTAATTTTTTTGCACCGTCAGATTCCAGATTATCAAATAGTTGTATCTCGGCCAAATATTGTCATATCATAACAAACCATACATCAGTGGAAAGCTTATTTATTCAGCTTTCAGAGGATGTATAAATCTCAATTTCGTAAAATTGACCCTTATGACTGGTTTTGTCGTCCAGGGTCACATTTATATGACACTACAGTCACCTAAGAAGCCGCATGCCAGCAGTGGCACCAAGGTACACAGGTGTAGTTTTCCACTCTCCTTCTGGTATTGCTGCCTTGGCAACATCCAAGCATTTCTTAAGACTTTCTCCAGCTGCCAGAGGGTTCTGTACATAGCTGGATATGCCATCACCTAAAAAAATTTAAAATGTTTTGACAGTTAAAACTTAAGTACACATTGTATAGCCTTCTCATAGGGACGGGATCTCAGCCATTTAGGCCACGTGAATTTTTGTGATGGCCCTGTTGAAACTGTTTTTTTTTCTTCTATTCCTTGTAAAACCTAAAGCGAATGAAGTAATATCGACTAAATGCATTAGATTCAGCTTTGTCACCTTATAAAGCATAATTTAATCACCGCAAAGTGTTATAATGTTAGGGAACAGAGAGTTGGTTTCCAGCGCTGTACTCACCATCCACATCACAGCTCTGTTTCTGAGAGACTATTCCAGTGTTATTCTCTTTGTTCCCCAGCCACTGGTACAGGAAAAGTGCCGTGTGAGTGGAGCCGGCATCAAACACAATCCCATACTGAGGAAGTCAGACAAAGAGTTTCATAAATTTAGACAAAACTTGATTTATTGGGTGTGCTTACTTTCCCGAGAAAAAAACACACACACATCCTGAGGGAAAACATTTGACAGTATCACATTCATGTTATACCACAGGATTCATAAAAATAGTTTGCGTTGAGGAGTTGTATAGAATTTATTTGGTTGTTTGGTATACTTGTGGTCTGAAATAATATATTTTTTTCATGTTGTTTTAAGTTTTTTTTTTTTACCATGGATTGTTTTGTTTTTGTGAGACAGACAGTGTAAATGATGTGTGAAATACATAATCGTGGTTATACGCAACAAACTTCTGTATTCTGGAAAACAGGTTGCGATGCTTCCGGTTAGTGTATTTTGTACGTGCTTCGTTAAATATGGAGCTGTTTTACTAAAGATGCCTCCGTCACATATGCAGACTGATATTTAAAAGTTTATTTTTGCTCTTCTTTTCAGTAACATTCTGATATTAAACTATTAACTCCAACATTAAAAACAAATAGCTAGGTTAGCTGATTACTATAGAAGTCAAGATACTGGCATCAGTCCATACTGCTGTTAACACTTTCTCTGTCAAGCAGGAGAATTTTGGTAACACTTTACAATAGGGTTCACTTTGTTAAGATTAGTTAAAGCATTAGACATCATTAACTAATAATAAACAATACTTTGCAATAATATGCTTTAAATATGCTTTAAAATAAGGTCAGATTAGTTGACCTTAGTTAATATATTAACTAACAATGAACAATATATTTGTTACAGTATTTATTAATCTTAAACATTAGTTAATAAGAATACAAAAGTTTATTGTTCTGGTCAGTTAACTAATATTAAGAGATACAACTTTTGGTTGACACTTTAATTTAGGGACCAATTTCTCACTATTAACTAGTTGCACATATTACTAGCATATTGGCTGTTTATTACTTACAAAGCACATATTAACGCCTTATTCTGCATGACCATATTTTGGATTCCTTACTCCTACCCCAAACCTGAACTTAACAACTACCTTACTATTTATTAATAAGTAGCCAATTAGGAATTTACTGAGGCAAAAGTCATAGTTACTAGTTAGTTAATAGTGAGAATTGACTCCCAAACTAAAGTGTGACCAGCTTTTGATTTTATTAGTCAATGTTGAAATTCACATTAACTGAGATTAACTATTTTTCATTGTTAGTTCATCTTATTAACTAATGTTAACAAATGAAACCTAACTGTAAAGTGTTACAGAATTTATTAATTTAGGTTCATGTTAATTTCAACAAATACTGATACATTAACATTTCAGCTTGAAGTTTGTTTTAGAAGGTTTTTATTTTAAATGATTAAAAATAGGAGTTAAGTGTGTGTCCTTAAAAACATCTAAATTCAATTCATGAATATCTTAACAATGAACACATGTTTTAGAAACAAATAGACACATATCGTGTGTAGTCAAAATGTTATCACTAATGTGACACTAGTGTATGTGTTCACGGATACAGGTTTAAATGTCCTGTTCCCATTTCCCTTCTTTCACCCTCCACTTTCCTGTCAGTGATTGCCCTCTACAAAAGTGGTCATGAATAAAAAAAAATGTTTGCAATAATATGCTTTAAATATGCTTTAAAATAAGGTCAGATTAGTTGACCTTAGTTAATATATTAACTAACAATGAACAATATATTTGTTACAGTATTTATTAATCTTAAACATTAGTTAATAAGAATACAAAAGTTTATTGTTCTGGTCAGTTAACTAATATTAAGAGATACAACTTTTGGTTGACACTTTAATTTAGGGACCAATTTCTCACTATTAACTAGTTGCACATATTACTAGCATATTGGCTGTTTATTACTTACAAAGCACATATTAACGCCTTATTCTGCATGACCATATTTTGGATTCCTTACTCCTACCCCAAACCTGAACTTAACAACTACCTTACTATTTATTAATAAGTAGCAAATTAGGAATTTGCTCAGGAAACTGAGGCAAATTGCTCAGGAAACTGAGGCAAAAGTCATAGTTACTAGTTAGTTAATAGTGAGAATTGACTCCCAAACTAAAGTGTGACCAGCTTTTGATTTTATTAGTCAATGTTGAAATTCACATTAACTGAGATTAACTATTTTTCATTGTTAGTTCATCTTATTAACTAATGTTAACAAATGAAACCTAACTGTAAAGTGTTACAGAATTTATTAATTTAGGTTCATGTTAATTTCAACAAATACTGATACATTAACATTTCAGCTTGAAGTTTGTTTTAGAAGGTTTTTATTTTAAATGATTAAAAATAGGAGTTAAGTGTGTGTCCTTAAAAACATCTAAATTCAATTCATGAATATCTTAACAATGAACACATGTTTTAGAAACAAATAGACACATATCGTGTGTAGTCAAAATGTTATCACTAATGTGACACTAGTGTATGTGTTCACGGATACAGGTTTAAATGTCCTGTTCCCATTTCCCTTCTTTCACCCTCCACTTTCCTGTCAGTGATTGCCCTCTACAAAAGTGGTCATGAATAAAAAAAAATGTAAATCCTTCATAGCTCAAACTGTGATCTTTGAAAAGTTTAACATAAAAAATAACTTCTTTTTTTAATGTTTCAAAGACAACAAATTGTAGGAATGACCAGTGTCACACCTTCAATTGTTATCCGACACCACCAATATATATTTATTATAATATCCGATAAAGAAAATATTGACACCTGTTCAGATGATCTGTTTTTAATAAACAACATGTAGTGCAAGCAGAAGAAATTTTCTGATGGGTATCTCTTATAGTGTTGACTTTTACAACTCTCACAGAACCGCATTAATCTATTAAAAATCTATACAAAAGCACATTGTAACTGACAGTTGAACATCTTTGCACCTGTGTTGAGTATGGTCGATCCAAAGTCTGATGATTGGCAAGAGAGAGAATCAAAGCGATGATGGTTGTACAAGCTACGGCTGCCATTGCAGCACCCAGCAATAAAGCTTTCATCTGAATTCCCATATCTGCAATCTGTCCAGAAGCAAAACAAATATGCACTACAGGTACAAGGATGATCCACAAATATGTGAAGTTCATTTCATGCATGCCAAAGTTAAATAGTCAAATCCTGTTTCAGACACATTCATTTGTCATAGCTTTGTTTACACTTCACATGCACATTCAAGTCTACAAGTGTACAAGATCAAGAGAATCAATTATTACCCGAGATCTTCAATTAATATTTGATGTTTTAAAGCTGATTGGCAGATAACAGTAACACTTCAGAGAGAAAGCAAATGTCTTACCTTCTTCCCTCTCCTTTACCTGTCCGGATTAACTTTCTTTATGAACCTATACAGGCCTGTGTATTGAAGACAGGTATGTGCAATGTTGATACCTCCACACCTTTACTCCAGCCAGGGCCTTTGGGAACTGAAGTTATACTCCCACTTCCCCAGTATATCTTCAGCTCATTACACACACACACACACACACACACACACACACACACACATAACACTCTCACTAACTTTTCCTCTTTTACACACACAGTTAAGTACTACACCTCACATACTCACAAACACACACCCTGGTTTACAACCTCAAAGTTTCATTGGACCAAATATCCTCTCTTATTTTTATGTATCAATATCACAAGTTGAATCATTTATAGGAAGTTTTCTTAAAGAATTTGACAGGAACTATGGGAACTGATAAAAAACCTTATCTGAATAAAAACCGAAAGCATGCACTAACCTCATTCACCAATAACAACTGTTACTTAATAACTAATCTCTCTTTGACTCTGTTGTGTTAAAGTCTTTGGTTTAACAGCGTAGTTAGAGCACAACACAAATTTACACTGACAGATTTTACTGAAAAGCACCCTTTTACCATTTGTAGAAGATTATTGTTGCTGGATGAAATCTCTTTCATAATGCTATGAAATCTGATTAAACTACTCTGATATTTAGTCTTAGAATAAATGTGTTGAAAAAAAAACAGTTAAGTATTTAATTAAAACAATGAAAGAGTTGAGTAAACTCAAGTGAATACCACTCACTGAAGTTGAAGCAAAAGTATTTAGTATACATTGCAAATCAGTTACATTATGAAAACAAGTATTTTTGACAAAGTTACGGTTATCGTTATTTGTTAGAAATATAATATTTTCAAACCTCACCTTTTCAACTTAGTCATTAACATCTTGTTCTAGTGAGATGTCAAAACAAAGATTGTTAAAATGATGGTTGGACTTAAAATAAGAATTCTGTTATCAATTACTGTACATCCTGTATGACTGTATTTTTCTGTGGAGCTTAAAATATGAGGGGGGGGGGGACTTGGTACATAAGTTGAAACATTCTTCGAAATATCTTTAAGTTACAAACACTCTATGGACTTTTAATAGTCCTTTGAATGTCCACCAATAAGTTGCAACCAGCAACACCAGTAAATTATAGACTAAATGTTAAAATATATTTATATATTAAACAAATTAAACAAACAAACAAGCAAACAAATAATTCAAAAATCAACAGTAGTTGGCTGATGAAATGATATTTCCTTCACTGACTCTTAAGCAGTCTGGAATTCCTTTTTCTCCTATATGAGGAACTTTTGGCAAAAGTTACCGTTTAACTGGTTATGTAGACTAGATACTTTAAATGACAAGGAACAACTGCTAGTCTTTTAGTAATACTTTAAATTAGGGAATGCATATTCACTATTAACTAAGAGTTTTCCCTCAATTAACTCCTAATTACTGCTTATTGATTGTAAGTAAGGTAGTTGTTGTAGTGGTTATTAGGGTTAAGGGGTATAGAATATGCAGAATAAATAATTTAAATGTGTTTTATAAGTACTAAGAAACACCCAATATGCTAGTAATATGCATGCTAATAAGCAATATTCAGTAGTGTTTCCTAATCTTAAGTGTTACTATTCTTTTATATGGATAACACATTACTAGCATAAACAGACTCTTACTGTGCATTTCTATGGAAATGGCTGATTAGATTCGGAACAGGTGTGACAAATATTCTTGTGTGTCCTTTTAGCTTAACCACCTCAGCATCCTGATTGAGGGATTTGCAGCTAACCATGTATTTCCACATAAAGAAAACTAATTGCTCACGGTCACGCTCAGTTTTAAATTAGTGAGAAAAAAAGACACGGTTCGGTCAGGACGTATCGTAAATCACTGCTTAAATCTGGTATGAATACCTTCTGCTGTCATAAGCTTTTGTTCTCAATCATGCAATCACACCTGTTGCTCACTCCCTTGTGTGTTCAGATGTTCACATTTTGAACATTCGAACCCACAAACAATAGAGATCAGTAATAGCAGTAAATGGATGAATATCTGTTCGATAATCCTGTGGGGGCCGTGACATTGTCAACAAGTTTAAGACTCGTTGCTTGAGCCATATGATGTTCAGTTCATTTTGAGAAGCAAAACTTGTCTGCGACAAGTAAAAAGTTAGGCAGATGACTGGTGACTTTTTCCTGACTTGTTATTTCCTGTAACTATTTTCTTAATTAGTCACATTCAACAGTGTTACTGATTTGGCCAGTAAAATTCTCCACCCTAACATGACATAAAATATAAGCATATATTTGCTTAGAATATATAATATTGTAGCTAATCAGCTCATGGGAAATATGAATAATTAAC